ACAAACATAAGCTCATATCGTTACATCATTATTTGGATGGGAGTCTGGGAGACCACGAAGGAATACCAGAGTCACTACACAGAGCGAGGCAATGGCAAACCAACTGTGAATGTCTCTTGCCGTGAAAACCCCATGAGGTTGCCATAAGTTGGATGTAACTTGATGGCAAAAAGAAAAAAAAATCCATGTTAAATTTCATGTTCTTATGATAACAATATTTATGTAATATGATACATAGAGGCATCTACCAGGGCAATGTTTGTCACTGAACAAATGATATAAATAACTCAGGCCCCGGTCACACGGCAAAGTTGCCGCGGGAGAGGCATGGGAGTCCCGCGGATTTTCTGGGCATGATCACACCCCAAAATCTGGGAAGCGCAGTGCTCCCATGGCAAACCCGTGGCTCCCCGCCGAAGGTGCAGATTAAAAAACTAGTACTTATGAGGTACTCGTTTCTGGAAACCGCGGGCCAAGGGCGGGCGTCTGATCGCGTTTCCGGTGGACTTACGTGGCATCTGGCGCCCGTCCCCGTAGGTTGCGCAACAGCACCCAACAGCACATGCGCACCAAGAGCGATTGCTAGTGTGATCGCGCGGCACGGCTTCTGTGCCGCGCTGCAGGATACCTGTCTGGTCGGCATCTCCCCCCTAACCATGGGACCTCGACCGGGACGTGTGCTCAGGCGGCCGCACGTTAGTTTCCTTCCGGGGCAATTAGCCACGCCTCCCCCCTGCGATATCTGGCCCGTGTGACCGGGGCCTCAGTTGTTTTTTAAAACTCTCAAGAAGAATAGTGTGCAATAATTCAGTAGTAAGCACTGTAACTGTCAATCATAGGGACTTGAAAAAACAGGCTTATTCTGTTTCACCTTGTACCCTAGCCTGGAATGAAAATCTTTTTTAAAAAATACACGTACTAGAGGCTTTGCTTATCTTTGTGAATGCAAGTGCAAGCAACAAACTGTATGTGCTTTTGATGGAACAATTTGCTTAACTTTTAAATTGCTTTAGGTTTCCTGAATAAATTTGGGCCATGGTACTAACTGAGCTTCTGTGAAAGTAGCTTTTGTAGATACCAGTGTGATGTATTTCCTATGAATTTTGTTTAGTAAAGATGCTTGATGATGGATATGTTCAGTTGGCAACATTAATGTCTATCATGGCCTTTATGGTATAGCTACTGAAATGTTTATCATTCTATTAACAATGGGCCAAAAGACATATGAAGTTTCCTTCTATGAAATCAGACCACTGTTCAATCTCTACTATCTGTTATATCTGGGAAGTCAGTCAGGTCACTGGACTTCCTTTAAATGGAGAGACTAGGACCTCATGGATGAAAACTATGTGTTCAGAGCTATGGCCCTTCAGTCCTTAAGTGTTTCTTAGGCAGGAAGCACTTCGGTGAAGGAAGTTGTGGGGAACCTGTGTGTGTATGTATGCACGCAAATATACAACGTGCACATTTATATTACTACCTGTACAAATAGTAATCTAAGTGCAGAATTCCTGCAGCCTCCTGTACAAGATAATGTTCTGTCAGAAAATCTGGGTGTGAAGAGTTTGTCTGATATTTAAATCAGTTATTTAGAAGACTGTTTGCTTCTCCTTAAAGTTTTGATAACTTTTGCATAATGCTGTTTTGTAGAAGTTTATAGATACAACTCAGCTGGTTTGCCTCCTGTGACGTTCTGCACTTTTAAAAGCTTAGAAGTGCTGTGTAAATAGATAAAGGACTGTGAAGGGTTAATTCTTCACAGAGTCAGAGAGTCTTGAGTGACAGGCTGTTCCAAGAGATCTGATTGGTCAGCATCAGCTGAGCAGAGAAAGACTTCTGAACTGGATGCTGAGGAGAGATGCAGTCTGATTTCAGCCTTAGCTGAGAAGAGTCGAGTACTGACAGTTTTGAAATTCAGCCCTGACTGAGAACAGTTTAACACAGACAGGACAACTGGGGGAAAGTTGGCAAGTAATTTTGGGAAGTAGGTGAAGACTCCCATTTGAGCCAAAGAAAGGGGATAAATCTTCTAGTGAGAGGAGAATTTCCCTACCCAGTCAAACAGGGAGTTAGCTCTGAAGAATGCACACCTGGTCTGGTGTGGTTAGAAACTACCTTTAGAGACCTTAAGAGTCACTTAAAAACTCAAGATGAGTACTGGTGTTTCAAGAGAAGGGGTTTGGGTACTGGAAAGACTGCACCAGCCTTCTGGAAACCAAAATACTCAAAGAAAGTATAGTGGAGTGTTTTGGAAAAACACTGGAAGAAAAGCCTCTCAGCATAAAGATTTAAGTCACTGTGAAAAGCTTAAGAAGAAGAAGAAGAGGAGGAGGAGATTGGATTTATACCCCGCCCTTCACTACCCAAAGGTGTCTCAGAGCGGCTTACAAACTCCTTTCCCTTCCCCTACCCACAACAGACACCCTGCGAAGTAGGTGGGGCTGAGAGAGCTCTGACAGAAACTGCTCTTTTTCAAGGACAGCTCTTATCAGAATTACAGCTTGCCCAAGGTAATCCAGCCAGGTGCAAGTGGAGGAGTGGGGAATCAAACCCGGTTCTCCCAGATTAGAGTCCACGCACTTAACCACTACACCAAACTCATTAGTCTGAAACATAAGAACTGAAGTCTGTGCATGTACTGGTTTTACCTTGGAAGTTTCAGTCTCTGATTTCACCTGACCTTCACCTCAATGTTAAATAAAATATTTTGTTATTTCTGAATTTCAAAACACCTTGAGTGCCATTTAAGTTGTTTAAAGTTAAAGCAAGCTCCTGATCCATCCCTCAGGTTCCTGGACTGAGGCAACAGCCAAAATATCATACTGTGCCAGAGTGGGACAGCCAGAGTTCTTCAGCAAAGAAGAAAACACATTACTAGGGCGGCTCAGTCAGTAAAAGGAAAGTAAAATGGAAGGAAAATCTTTCCTCTGAGGGAGGGAAGTGGACAGGGCTGACATACCTCTGTTTGTGGCTTATTGGCCATTATGAATCCATAATTGTAGACAAGACATACCTTGGCTGTATAGACGTTGCACAACATGATCACATGAGAAAACTAACTTGTGAACTGGGCCTTTGTCTATGTTCTAAGGAAAAAGAAAAGTAGATTTTACATGTATGTGAAAGCCCTTGCCAAGTTCAGCAAGTGGCAGTGTAATCTGTATTAATTTTTTTTGCAGAGGAAGCATTTTGCCTCCTAGAACACTTAAATTTTTACTGAATGTGCTGGTCATCCCACTTAGATGCTCTTCATACTTGCTGCAGAATGGAGTGGTAGACAGTTCATGTGTACGTATTCAGTTCATGGGATAGGAAGATGGCTAGGCTAGAATCTTTCCTACTGATGTACAGTTTTCCACTTGCAGTTCAAAGTGTTACACTCCACTTTAGTACTTCATTCTGCCCTATGTATAGATACATTTTGATTCTTTTGACTGAAGATTCAGCATCTAGGTCAAGGGTGTAGACTTTCCAATTTCCCGGGGGGGGCTGGGGCTGGGCCAGAGGCATTGCTTTGCTAGGAGCAAGGGTGGCTCCCGGGGGAGGCTGAGCAGCTTCCTGAAAATTTCGGCGGGGGCTGAAGCCCCGCCGCCCCCACGAAGATTACGCCTATGTCTAGGTTTGTAAATAACTGGTTAAAAATCTTGAAGTTGTTTTCATGTGCTTTGTGGTAGTCTGGTTTACAGTGCATGGAATACCTACCTCCATAAAGGAGGTGACTTCTGAGTGGAAAAAAAATTAGATGGTAATTAGCCTATGATCAAGATATTTTAAAGGAATTCTATCAAATCTGAGTGTTAAGTTTGCTTCTGATTTTAACATTTAGAGACAGATTTAAAGATAGAGCTGATACTGGAAAGAGCATGGTCAGCTCGGCCTTGGAGTGTCCCCCCATGACACATGCGCAAGAACACTGAACCTAATCAGGGGCCCTAGGCCCAGAAAGAAAGGTAATTTAGTGTGCAGTAAAATCCTTTCCAGGTCTATAGTTATCCAGGTTTCTTCCAGGCAGCTTTCAGCAGCTTCCAGTTTATTGAATATTAAGAGCGTTTTCATCCATAGAACTTGAAATTTCTTTGGCATCATCCTCTCTCAGTTCTGAGAATGTCTAACCATTGTTAAGGCAGAAGTTTGGATTTCATTTTTATTTTACTTCTATTATACCCCACTCCTAGAGGCAAAGATAGTTTTGTCAAGGCCTGACCTACAGTGTGCATGTTTTTGCTTCTGCTTGCAGGGACTGAGCTGCTGGAGAATGGCCAAGGACTTCCGCTACTACTTTCAGCATCCGTGGTCCCGTTTAATCGTGGCCTACCTGGTGATCTTTTTTAACTTCTTAATATTTGCTGAGGATCCAGTCTCTCATAGCAGAACAGAAGCCAATGTCATCGTTGTTGGCAACTGCTTCTCATTTGTGACAAATAAATACCCAGAGGGAGGAGGCTGGAGATTTTTAAAAGTCTTCCTGTGGCTACTGGCGATCCTCACAGGAATGATAGCTGGCAAGTTCCTCTTCCATCGGCGTCTGTTTGGTAAGTAATGTGCTGAAAGCTTTTTCTATCAGAAATGTAATCATTTTACATTTTGAGGGTCAAATGTTAATAATGATGGCGGAATAGGATGTGGTGTTCAATAAGAGGTAGTTTTTTATTTTTCTTGTAGTCACTCTGGCCTTCTTGGAAACATCAGTTTTTAACAATCCCAAAAAGAGGAAGAAAGGAAGATAGCATTCACTTTAGACACACATTATACTAGTTTTCCCAGTTGACCTTAAGGATTCCTTATTATGAAACACAACATCTTTATCATTACAGTAAGTATAATTCTGTAGTATGGTTTTATTTTATATGCATTCGAAGTTTACTATTGTTCACATTTTTATCCCATCCTTCCTCCAAGGAGTACATGGTTTTCCTGAGAGAATGTCTGAAACCATTACTACGTTCTATCCTTCATTTTAACCTTCCTGGACATTCAGTTGCTGACCTAAAATCAGCAGTTATATTGCAAAGGAATTTCAAAGGGAGATTAGAAAGAGACTGCTGAATTGCAACTGATAACAAAGCTCAAGACAATGTATCCACCTGGACTGAATCAAGACCTAGGTTTCCTGACTCATTACCAATGCTGATTTCTCTCTGCATATCACACCTAATCCAATCACATTTGCTATTGTCATTTGCCTGCTAATGTCATTTGACTCTGAAATCATCCCACTTTCCAATATATAGGACAGATGGACTCACATTCTAGCTGTATCTGAAGAAGTGAGCAGTGACTCACGAAAGCTTATACCCTACCACAGATTTTGTTAGTCTTTAAGGTGCTACCGTTGGCAGGAAACCAGCAGGAGAGGGAGGGTACAGGGATGAGGGCGTGATGTCATGCTCTAGGATTCCTCCCAAACTCTATAGTAAAACCATAGAGCTTTGATAGAATCTTAGAGCATTATGGCCACATGGTAATATCAGTTCTGGTTATTTTCTGGAAGTGATGTTTGTCATCAGTGCAATTGAGTTTCACACCCATTTCCCCCCTGCTGCCCTACTGAATGGCATGGGGCAGGAAGTCTGCTGCTGTAATGGGAGACCTGGTGTCTCTATCATGGACAAAAGTGCTAAGTGAAACTGGGAGCAGCAATGAGGAGGAAATGAATAAAATTGCTGTCTCGTGCTGCTAGCACAGTGAACCTTCGGCAGAATTTGTAGTGCTTGTGCAAAGGAGAGAGAGGTTTCTGGGGCTGTGGGGGGGGGGAAGTAAGAAAGATCTTATTGTGTGAGCTCTTACCATTTGTGTGGCCACAGGATACAACCCAGTTTAATTTGTTGTACAACATGAGAGCCTTTGGTACCCATCAGTAATTTGGTTTCCACTGCAAATTCTTATTTGGGAAGCGTAGTGATGTCTTTTGGAAGGGTTGCTAATGTGAGAGATGAATACTCTTAGCCATAATTCTGTTATCTAATAAGGGTCAGAAATTTATTAAAACTGTTAAGACTGAAAGGAGTACATTATTAAGGGACGAAGTTTAAGCAGCTGGTAGAGTCTCGAATTCCATCTACACCAGCAAACAACCAATCTTTAAAACACAAACAATAATGGAACAGTTGGTAAATGAAACCACAGCAGTCATCTACGTTCAGCAGAAATCATAGAGGAAAGGCAGAAACTCAGCTGGGACTCAGAGGACTTATTAAAAAATACCTGCATACACACCATGGGAAATCTCCATTTAATAAATGGTCATCTGTACTAATATAAATTACCATTACTACACTGCATGCTGTCCTTGTCTAAAATCTCCACCTTGTGCATGTGAAAGGGACTCAATTGTGTTGTACCATTCCATTTTATCCCTAAAATAACAACATATATGTGTGTTCTTAATTAAATTGACAAGAGAGGTACTTAAATTGGCTTCTAGGTAAGCTAACAAAAAGACTGAACTCAAGCTTGAGGACATGGTCTATTCATATTTATCTATTTTGTTTCCTTGTTTATTTTTCACTGCTAAAGTGAACATAAATGTCAGTCAAAAATTCTAACCATAGCTGGGTAGACAGGACCTGACCATGAGTAGACAAAGCTCAAGTCAAAATCAAAGCTATGTAGTACACAGTTGTGAATTCTCCAGATGTCATTGCTGTTCTGTTGGGCTGGCTGTTTTAAAAAGAATGTTGTCCATCTGCATCTCTGTCATTCATTCTGCAGTGAATGTTACATCCTTTTGCTAGCTCTGCACTTGGATATTGGGTCTAGAACTTTTGGTTTGGTCCATCGTTAAAGGTAGGCAGACATATTAAGCTGATACCACAGCTCATTGGTTTTTGCTAAGATCAAAGGCCATGCAGATTGTGCAACCTCTGATGCAGTCCGTTGAGTTGCTCTGCTCTGAGGATCCAAACATGCTGATGCTAGCTGGTGCTTCCTTGCCTGTGAGCCAAGCTTTCATTTTCCAAATATAAGACTGCTGGGGTCCACGCTCATTTTAATATTAGGGTTAGCAGCATTTCATGGGACAGTTTTCTATTTAGCCTGTCTTTAATTCTCCCAGCCAAAAGGAAGCTGCATGTACTTGTACCCATCTCTAACTTTCCCCACTTTGTTTCTCCCCCTGTCCAAGCAGGCTTGAAAGTTCCTCAGGGGCAGGGACCTCTCTTTCCGCCTATGTTATTCTATGTGTTATGTACATGAATAGCATTCTAGTAGTAACTAGTAATATTGCCTATAATGTGGAAAATACATGCTTAGTAGAAACCCATGAGGAATTGTTGGGGGTGGGTGGGATTAATGAGAAACGTCCTACATGGTGGCTCAAATCTGCTTTACCTGTCTTAAGCACTTAAAAGCTTGGACAGGCCACTTTCCACATCTCTGTTTTGTTCTTTCTCCTTTGCCTTTAAGTGGTTGTCAACAGCTCTTGATATCTGAGCATGCTCATTTCTTGTCAAGCTGGTTCGTCTTCTTTTTCTCCCCTGCCCCTTTGGAGGAGAGCAGTTCTTTTTTTTTTTTAAAGTAATGTTTCAACATGCCTAGAGATTCTCCCTAAGGTGCAGAAACCCGGATGTTTCACTGCCTTTGTGATGGATTCTCTGCCATGAGTTTTTTTTTTCCTTTTGGTTAGCTGAAAGTCATTTTGCTTTTGTGAAAAGTTGGAGTGTGCAGAAAGCCCTGCCTTGACAATGGGTGAGCTGGTTGTGCAACTTCTGTGATTGGCATGAACCACCCACATTGTAATAATTGCTTTACTCCTTCTAATAATAATCTGGTTTGGCACAAAATTATTACTCAGTTCCTAGTGTTTGAAGATTGCCCATTTTTCTTTTTCCTAGCTTCAATTTTTTATTTGAACTAACTAGAACTGTAGTTTTCTATTACAAACAACCAATTCCTGTGACACACAAATGCCAGAACTTCAGAAGCTCTGGTAGTTGTAATAGCGCAAATCATGACTCTCTTTCTCTTTTTTTGCTGAAGTATCATCCTATCCCTGGAAAGCAAGTGTATAAAAATTAGTCAGCAAAGGTGAACAAAGGCCTTGGTTGGGTTTGTTTTTTTAAAACTTGATTGATTAGTCATCATAATTCTTTCCTGGGCCAAGAAATGCTTGCAATGCATTTTGCCTTTAGTGCTAACATCTTTTAGTTATGTAGAAGGTCAAAATGAATAAACTATTAATTACAACAATTAAATAAACTTCAGTGAAGCAATATTACCAGTGAAGCAATAGTTAAATAGACAGCTGGTCAGTGGTGTGCTTTAACATTAAAAATAGGCATTTTGTTGTTCAGTCGCACAGTCGAGTCCGACTCTTCGCGACCCCATGGACCAGATCTTCTTTGACCTTCAATCTTTCCCAGCATCAGGGTCTTCTCCAGTGAGTGCTCCCTTCTAATTTGGTGGCCAAAGTATTTGAGCTTCAGTTTCATTATCTGGCCTTCCAGGGAACAGTCAGGGTTGATTTCTTTTAGGATTGACTGATTTGATCTTCTTGCAGTCCAAGGGACTCTCAAGAGTCTTCTCCAGCACCATAGTTCAAAAGAATCTATTCTTCGGCGCTCGGCCTTCCTTATAGTCCAACTCTCGCAGCCATACATGACTACTGAAAGACTATTGAAAGAGGTAGTCAATCTTTAAAGGTACAATTGTGGTCTTAGGGTACTGTCTCAGTGATGATCTGGTTCTTATAGATCCACATGGGTCAATGCAGGGGTAATTCATGAGGACAACCAGATGGATTTCACCTAGAGAACTGGTGTTGAGTAGTGATGGGCATGAACTGGGAAAATGTGGTATGGTTCATGGTATGCCAGCTTCATGAACCATGAAACATCACAAATAAACCAGTTTCATTTGTGAGGTTTGTGACATGGTAGAACACCCCTCAGCATGATAGAGACACCAAACTCACAAGGGATATCCGGCTAACCCACCTCTACCTACATGCCAAGGTTGGTGAGGATTGAATTTATGGGGTTCGAGTTATGGCTCCCCCAAAGAAGGTGTCCCCAGGAAAGCATTTTCTGGGGAAATGACAAGCACAGGTTCATGAGGGTCAGGATTGTATAGAATGGATCCTGTGCAAATTAAAGATGCCAAACATGCAAGAGATCTCCAGATGACTCTCCTCTACTTGCCCTCCAAGTTTGATGAGGATTGGATTTATGGGGTCCAAGTTACAGCCCCCCAAAGAAGGTGCTCCTATGGAGGGAAAAACAGCAAAAAAGCAAGGACAACAGAAGCCATGCAGAACAGAATCGAAGTCCCAGAGAATCTCTGCAGTAGAAACTGAAGGTTGGAGGCATTTTTGCAAGCCCAGCAGAACCAGTGCAATGTGCCCAGCAGAACTAGTGCCACTGTGGCACTGTGAACCCAACAGGACTAAGGTCAAGTCAGGGAAGTGTTTTTTGGGGGGACATGTCAGACACAGGTTCAAAAGTATATAGAATGGACCCCCTGCAAGTTACACACACCAAATGGCATCATCTTTTAAGACTTTGAATAGCTCAGCTGGGATACCATCACCTCCACT